ATATAAGATCCTGTTATTCTATTTAAACAGTTAACACCAATGGTGATGCATAGCTCGACAAGCTCTACACAATTGATGGATGACTGTCCAATCCACACATATGCCAATTACTATTTGTGTCGATCGCCTGCAGCGACAACAGCAAATGACGCGGTAAGGATCTACCGTCACCGACATACACCCATTAAACTGGGCCTTATTTTTCTTATTCGTTTTTTTAATAGCAAATCCAAATAGATAGGCTATTTGAAAATGCTATTTTATAAATAGATAAAATTATTTAAAGACCGAACCTTTCTCGAATCGATTCTAAAAATAAAATATTATTGCTCGTTAAGTCCTCGGTTGTGGAATTGGCTTTTAATCGCATCTCTTTTAATTAATACTTACATGTTTTATTTTTCTTCGAAGTGACATTGGTATTATGCTTAGTTTTCTGGTTAGTTTCAAATCCAATGCATTACTCCTAGTCTTTCGTAGATTTAAATAAAAAAAAACATATACTCTATGTTTATATAAATCCTATGTTGGTTTGAGTACGCTTCAAAAACTCAAAATTTTCTGCACCGATTGAGCTCCAATTTTAAACGATATACAATATACTTCAAAGATGGCTTTTATCTAATTTTTTCAACCACAATGTCCCACAGCAAAGCGGGGCTGTTTACAGCTAGTCAATTATAAATTATATTGACACAATATATATATAGGAAATGAACATCGTTGATTCAAAAATGGAACGTAAAAGTGATTAATACTTCCTTTTAAATCTAATTTAGATGTCTCACTGGCTTTTGTGTAAAGTGAAATTTACAGAAATAATGTTGCAAATCACTGCAAGTGCAAACAAATGATACAATGATAAATGATAAACGCGCCGAGATAATAATTTAATCATTTAAGATGCAGTTTGTATTAAACTCAAAAATTAGGATTTTAATAGATTTACCGGTAGGTGAAACGAGATTTTGCACAGTTCTATTGCTTGATAATAATGGAACATAAGACGCCAAGTTTAAGTCCAAATAGCAAAGAAAAAACGTAAAAAAAACACTTTTCATGTTCACGTATTATTTGTTGTTTCAGAAAAATACATTCTGTGCAAACTTAAAATATTGTCGAATATAGTTCACGAGAGGTGTAGTCCGATCAGACACAGACGAACTAGCAATCGACTTCTTCGTACTGAGGTTCTGTTGATAACTTTGAATTGTAATTATGTTTTTAAGAAAAGGTCTTTAGAATGTGTGTTGTATTTACAATTATGAACAAGTTGTGTTTGACTTATAATAAAAGTCCGAAAAGTGATAATTCTACTGTCTCATTCAAACAGTTTGCTGGTCTTTGGTAACAAAATCAGGTGGTTAACCAAAATTTGTGATCAATCTACAGTGATTAGTCTAGTTTATAAAGCCTATGCAAACATAATTAGCTTTATAAAAGCTTTAATCAGGTTTAAAGAAATAAATAGATTATACACCAAAATAACCTTCTGATACTGTGTTATTAATAATAGTGATTTAACGTCAATGTATTGAAAGTAAAAATCGAGCAAAAACCTACGTAGGCCTTTCTATTTAGAATAATTCGCCAGATTTATGTCACGAGACAATATGGACTGGCCCCAACGAGACCCATACATACGCTTACACAAAAACTTAATGAAAGTAAGTTGAAAGTAAGCTTTCACTTGTCGGCAGTATTGTATGGTGCGTCAATTGTCTACAATACAATGTCAATTGTATTTCTAAAAGTTTTTTAAACAAGGGTGGCGTACTCCCAGACGAACATCACCAGTCTAGCCGGTCAATGGCATACAATTTGCTATAGCGTAAATTTTCATTGTGGTGAATTATAACCAGTTGACGCACACAATCAGACATATTCTAGATAATATTACTCATATTATATTTTAATTTGAAGTGGTACAAGCCTCACTGTTTTTAAATTTTGATTGCAATTAATAGAATTTATGGACGAATTCGAATAATTTTTTGATGAGACCACCGGTATCTTCCAATAAGCTTAATCGAGGAAAACTTACTCAGTACCTGTCTTGTGTTTACAAAGATTGTGTTCGAGATTGAAACGCTTCACGTTCTTGCATACGATTTGTATCTAACCTCATTTAAGTTTGGTCTATATATATGTTTATATATATGTATATATTATCAAGTAATAGCTCCAGAATGCAGCTAGTACACCTGTAAGTCGGACGTTACCAGCTCATGCATTGTAAAAGCATTGAGTGATACGAGTACAATAGTAACGGAAATGTCATACAGGCATAAAATTAAAATGTTAGAAATTCAATATAAGCTGTACTGATATGAGATTTCTAACATTTTGTTATGTATGAAGGTTCGGACGGATATGATCGATACACTACTCACTCAGCTCGAGCTCCCGATGAGGGTAAGAAAGCCAATCTGTAATCTGTAGCAATCTAAAGGTGACCGTCACATTAGCAACGACGTGTTGTAATGACGCAGTGATAGTACATATCCAGAATGACCATAAGTAAAGAAGGGTTTGGGATTCTGAGGGCTTTCTTTACCCGAAGTTCTAGGAATAAGGGCTTATATTTTGCAAGACCCAGAAGGGGATCATTGCTTTTAAAGGGAGGAAATTCTTCAGTAACGTTTATGGACACAGTGAAGATATAGGAGTCTTTGTGTCCCAAACATATGGATTTTCAACAAGCCGAGGCACTCTACACTCGTGCTCGTCACACAATTGTTTGTCCTGGGTGGGAATCTAACCTACGACCTGCGAAATGACTGACGATTGTGAATTTTGTAGTAAAAGAGCTAGTCATCACTCTCAACGACAGTTATACCTGCGGAAGTAGGAGCATTGCACAAAACTTTTTAGTTTATTTTTTGTTATGTTTAACACAATTGCATAACTTGTTTTTTTAAAAGACAATAAAAATATAAGCAAAAAGTTTGTAAAAACAGTATGTAACAAAATACAAATGAAGCTTTGTTACTTGGTCATCCCGCATTATTGCAACAAAATCAGTTTTATGAGTTTTACACCTGGATAGTAAAATAACAATTTAACATCAACACATGCTTATTACGCTCTAGCAGTTAATATTACAGCCCTGTCAGCGTAACCATATTATATAATCTATAATAAAAATAAACACAGTGACAGGTGGTGAGGTGACGAATACTTATTTTCTTATCAGAAATAAATAACTTAAATACTTATAAACATAGCGTCGACCACCATGTGGATCGTATAGGAGGAACAAATTGACTGTTTAAGTTTGTGGTTCAACTCAACTTACATTAGAGAAGTGTTCGGTGTTACTTGTATTACCTGGAGAGTATGAATGTCAGTAGTTAAGTTAATTAGACCCTTGATGTGAGATAGATAAAGTGAATTATAATCATCTCTATCCAATATGTTTGTGTCAATTTTACATTGATAAATGAGAAGATTCAAAAGCAGCTGAAGTTTCGCTGTCCTCGATTTATATTAATATCAAACAAACCAACTTACTTTGATGATTTTTTGTAAGTAATAATCAAATTCTTTCTTTATGTTACCATGACTGTGCAAGAGCATAATAAGTTTCAAAATAACACCGACATAATAAATGTTTGACAACATACTTATAGATATTTTAAGTCCATTAGTCATTTATCCGACAGCAGCACAAAGTGACAGCAAACAATAAAGCGAGTCTACGTGATTATAATGAACACGAAACGTGTCGAAAATATATTGTAGAAAACGTGAAACTTAATTTAAATTTATGTTTACAGGTTAAATAAAAACGTCGACTAACGTGTAGACCGTGTTAACAAGTTTTAATGTGAATATTTTATGTCGACGACGTGTTTAGTTACAGGGGCTAACTATTCGGTATCAGCAGTTTTGTTGAAAGCAAAATTAGACAATAATGTCAAGAATTCACAGAGTTATAAACCTTTTAACCCCATGTTAGTAGTTACTTGCATTGTTATCTGTGAGAGTCAGTCTGTCGTTGGGCCATTGGCCAGTGCAATGCCTTTATAGAAATTTGAGCTAGAGGGTATTGGCCACTTGTATTCTACATTACAAGTATATTTGTTATTATCTTGGAACAACAGAGTTAAAGACGGAGACAAAGACAATTTACAGTGTCAAAGTTTGAAAAAAAAAACGATTAACGGAAAGTACTTGCATTTTGAATTAATGATTGTAGTAAAGCATACATTGATCAACCGGATGTTTCATTTAAACTAGCAACTGTCAAAAGGAAAAGAATGTGCTAAAAGATTTCAGATGTTAATCTATAATTAGGTACTACTACTATAAATTTTTCGTGATAAGCGGTGATTTAAAAAATATTAGGTTCACACTTAATTGTTCAAAATTTTTGACACAACTAAAATATTTACTTAAGAAAGATTAGTTTTGTAAGTTACATTCAATAGAGTAAAAGATGACTAATTGTCCTTGCGTGAATTTAGACTAAAGGATAGCATTAAGAATCTTCGTTAAAACGTACGTTGTCTCGTGAATCTTTTTATTAGATGAGATGACTATTCGTGGTGCCGATGTACTTATTGCCAACAAGGTATCGCTTCGCTTAACTCGTGAGAGACAAGACCGTGAAGATAAGAAACTGAGAGCATAAAAGACTTGTATGATAGATATGCCATGAAAAAACTGGATATAATTCGCTTGCGTGGACAAACTTGACTGGACAGAAGTTATATAGATTTTAGATAATGTTTCATAAAGTCATAATAATAAATTAAAATGTCATACTTTGGATGTCGTTGCAAGCAATACGTTAAATGAAGTTGAAGTGATAAATGTTTTAAACAGTTACTTCTAAAGAAATAAATTAGTGCAATTGGCCCTCGATGAATATCTTATAAAAAAGAAAATGTGTAAGAACAATAATAAAAAACAAGATTGTTTCTTAAATGACAAGTGATTTTTAGAAAATTAACCTGTTCAGTTGGCGGCACGTGCAGGGGCGCCTCCCAGGCTTGTCACAACTCGCCCCAAATGATGGCTCTTTTGCCGCGGTCTACAGATGCTAGCAATCCTGATTGAGGGTGCCACGACACTGCTGTCACAGCTGACCTAAAAAAAAAGGTAACAAAGACATGAAATAAAGAGATGCTCCATCGGAATCTTGTAACAAACAGGGAAAGTAACAACACCGTTCTGAAAATGTCACCTTTCATTTATAACCGAAATATTTAATTACATACTTTTGAATATTTATTGATATACATTATGTGAGCATCGATATTATAATTGTTTGACAATACTTATACCAAAAACGAGCTAGCTTAATACTTACTAGCTCGTACTGGCATATTTTCTATACGTGATCAAAAGCTTTTAGTGTGTACGTGACGCGATAACTTTTATGAACTATTCGTAAACCTATTTCAATAATCCTTTTTGTAATGAAGTCGGGACTACTCATGGCTGTTCTAATTTAAATGTAATGCTAATTTAAATAAAAATAATACAGCTAATACGTTGTATTTTATCATTTAAATTAAAATAAAAATGACCAAAAGAATGTAGGTACTATTAGATTGTAATATGTATCGTAAATGTAGTGTAAATGTATTTAATTTCCTAGTGCTACTAATATGTCAATAATAAATTTAAGTTAAGTAAAGTGATATCTATGTATGTATATTAAATACCTACAGTATGCGAGAAATATAATCGTTGTATTGTACTTATACTCGTATGTATGTATGTCGATTCATAATATCTACAATGATATAGGTTCGAGATGTGTGCATCACAATCGTTAAGTTTTATTAACCAAAATTATTTCAGACTGCTTAAATTATACATTTTTTTACATTAAATAAAATGAGTTCCAGAATGATGTCGCTATTATGTGAGGTCCATACTAGAAATTTTGACAAAATCTAAGCCTCGGGTCATAAAATGACTGCGAATATAACATTAAGGTTTATTACAAAACTGGAGCATTTTTGTATGTTGCGTGCACCGTTACACTTCTCAGAATACTATTTGACAGTGAACGGTATAACGCTTTATATGGTAGTACATTACGAAAAATATGTCCACATTAAAGCATGTCACTGCCACTTATAGATACTCATCATGGTGTCTAATAATACAAAATTATAATACGACAACATACTGGCTATTTCATATAAATTTATAATCTATTTAGGGATATGGGTCTATGAAAAGCAATCTCGACTACTATTTCCAGTGATTAATTTCTATACATAAATATACAAGTATGGACAAGTACCCATCCCTCCTGGATTGGGAACTTTTCTATAGTTGTATATTTTCGAGTTTGTTCAGAAACTGTTTTAAAGCAGCTATGATTGTCGGAGGCCGCTTAAAGTCTTTACATCGTGTCTATGCAGGGCGAGGCTTCTCATAAACAAGAATTAGCGTCGGGTTTGTTCGGCTCGTTTACACATACCGCTCCCGGTCGTATAACAAGTCTACGTAGGGTACCCAATACGAAGAGCAGGAAGCGCTATATCACGAACAAATCTGGCAACCAGAACTTACAATAGTTTCCTTACTGCATTCAAAAAGCTATTTTTTTTTATTGCAAGATTGCACTAGAAACGTAATTATGGTTATTTATTCAATATAGGTCTGAAGTTTTCAACTATTAATTTTATAATTCACGTGTATATTGGATTCTATGGGCAGTTAATGGCTTTTAGAGCTATCTACAGGGCACTGTTTTGAAATTGTTGTAAATAATTAAGCGAATGAATGTTATAAAAGTCGTAAACCACTCGATTTATCGATCGATTTAATTTGTACGTAAAATATAATTACTCGGTCAATACTTCTATGATAGCATTTATATGGCTGCAAATGAATGTTTTTCACATGTACATATCATATTTCTTGGTCTTGTGTTGCGATGATTCATAACATCTTTACACGCCTACCATGTTCGTAAACACGTTACCCAATAAAGTAATTTTAAGAATCTATTTACGTCGGCCATTAGCCTTTCCGCTACAAAAAGCATGCACTGCGATTAATAGAGACCTATATCCATAAACATTGGGAATTTACCCATGCGACCTGCAAGTTAGTTGGAATTGATGCTAATATTGTAACATATGCAATTACCCTTAAGCAAAGATAAGAATAGCTAGTATTATTTAAATGGTGGCAAGGTAATTGCTTCAGAGATGTGGTTAGTAAGAGGATTAAGTATTTTATGCTTCCTATAGTCATTGGAGGTATAATAACTATATTTTCTCTATCCCATAAGAGAAAATCAACTTCCGCTAATAATGCTCAATGTATAATAGGCAATAACTTCTCTACTGAAGTAATAAACTATACGAAGCAGAAATTATTAAGTTCAAATACGAGATGTTCTAGTACATCATCACCTGACAATAGTAAGCGTTTAAAATTTAAATGACACCTTCAAATATAAACCAGTAGTAGAGACAATTGTACGAGTGGTTGTATAATTCATGTGGAAGGATACGTTGATGCTTGACGGATACGGATGAGCTTTTGAATCCCATCCGACATTACCGACGTTAACCCACTCTTTACACATAATAATAGTAATAAACCTTTATTAATTCTTGTTTTACAATAGTTGGTAAATATAATATTACAGTAAACACAAATTTGGTTTTAGTATTAAGTTAGCTTAAATTAGGTTAGTAATAGAAGTACCTATGTGTTTTAAATATTTATAAATTAACAGGAATCCCGGTTTGGGTAAAGGCCTCCTCCAAAGATGTCCATTTTTGTCGGTCTTGTGCTATGGAGCGCCAGTTTATGCCAGCTACTCTTTTCAGATCGTCTTCCCAGGGGGCTAAGGGTCTCCCCTTCCCCCTCTTGCCTGGTGGTCATTTCCACTGTGTAACTCGTGTAGTCCACCTTCCGTCAGACATTCTTGCTACATGGCCAGCCCAGTGCCATTTCAATTTTAGAGAAACGGTCAAAGCGTTTGTGACTTTAGTGATGTCTCTTATCTTTGTGTGTCTTATTTTGTCCATTCTCTTTATGTTTAGCATACTTCGCTCTAACTCTTTACACATACTTATTATTTATTTATTTATTTAACTTAATGCACAAGTTGTACACAGGCGGACTTAATACCCAGGGCATTCTCACGGCTCTCCACACGCTGGCGGAGCGCCCGTCGTACTCGAGTAGAGGCGAGACCTCGTGGCGGCCATCGGAGTGGAAGTTCTCTCGCTCGATAGCCTGATTGCGGCTATCGTGCGGAGCGAGAGTGCGTGGAACTCTGCCGTCTCCTTCTGCGAGCAAGTCATGCTCGCGAAGGAGACGGCGGAGAGGGGACCGGGAGAGGTTTAGAACTCTCCCGGCCCGCCAGGCCCGGGAACGGGCCAGGTACCGCAGGCGACTCAGGCGCCGGAGGTCGCAGAATGACCTCCGTCCTCCATAAGCGCAGGCCTGGGGGTGACAGGTGAGGCCATCTGTCACCCTAGCAGAAGCAGGCCGCTCCCTGGAAGCGCGCTCGCTTCCAGGGAGCAGAGGGAACATGGGCTTCCCACACGGGGGGGGGGGTCGTCTACTCGTCTGTAGATGGCCCGAGGTATGTCGGGGCACCAGGGACTTACTTTCTAGGGTATACCTGGTTCCCCGGCTATTAGTACCCGAGACGGCGTGCGGTGTTAGTCGGTTCGAGTCCGACATGCCACCGATAGGTGGTATCCGAGGGGGGGATTTCCGCACGGAAAAAAAAGGGCATTCTCTGCCAGTCGACCCATAAATCTACTTATTCTCTTTAACAAAAAAATGTTTTGGACCGTTAATCTCATCTCGGTGCTTGTTTACTATACTAATTGATTGTTAACAGAGTAAAAACAAACAAAAACACGTCTACAGAGCTACTAGCATAAGGTGCTATAATAGTCTTACGTTGGGATTAAGGATGAGGAGAAAACACTCTACAAAGTAGTAGTTATTGTTCCCACATCGACATGTTTTGTTTTTATTCATTCAAAGTGTAAACAAATTTATATGAGAAATTTGATATACATAGCATTTCCTAGGCCACGAAGGCTTATATTGAATGCTAAGCGTTAGTTTAGACCGACAGAAAAAAATTATAACATAAAAAGAACTGAATACAGTATAAAACAATACTACATAAATAAAAAAAGCGAAAAAGATAAAATAAATAAGAAAATATAAATTATTATTTTCGACGACGACGATTCAAGAGAAACGGTCGCACTTTAGGTTTGAAGTTGATTGGCGTTAGAAGCACTTGATTAAATAAACGTAACATTTAAGTACAAGCTGAGTATGTACAGATCGAAAAAAACTGTTTTTTCAACGGGATAATTCTGGTAAAAGTATTAGTTTGAAAAAGAAAAAATATAATTTTGCAACGAAACCTTTCTTACAAAAAAAACAGTATTTAAAGCTATAATTTAAGCCCGGGACGGATTTCCTACGATTGTTTCGAGATAAAAGCGTGTTTTCTCGTAAAGTTTCTAACGAATTTTACTTTGACAACTTCCATTTTCTTCCTTTTTTCTCCAATATACAACCTCCTATTTGTTGTATTTATATTTAAAAAAATCTCTGCTTTTTTTCATTAAAACGTTTTGTCGCACTTTCCAAAAAAAAATTGTCCAAAGTAATTTTTTTTTTTCATACTATTATTTTTTCAGTATTATCCCGTTGAAAAACCAGTCAGTTTTTAAGGTATTTTGCGCCGCACATCCTCATCATACTAATTGTATTGTACCTAAGTGTATATAATTGGTTGAATAAACTAACATTCATTTTTTTTTGTAAAGTATCTAGTATTTCCTTAAGTTCTGCTGTTTAGGTCCTAAGATAAAATTTTAAATATATATATATATTGGTTTATACGCTAATATTGCATACCTAAATCTATTTTAATATCGCAATGTGATACCCTTGCCATGATCGATAAGGTCAGGAAAGTGACTTTAACAGAACACAGAAAAAGAATGTAGATAACCGGTTCTACTTAGGATCTTAGTAAGCAGAGGAAGGACTACAAGGTGAAGAGCCTGCAAAAAGACGAGGCTCGAAAGGAGTTCGGATCCTCAGTTGTTAATTCAAATCTATTACGT